TTCTTCTTCTTCTTCTTCTTCTTCTTCTTCTTCTTCTTCTTCTTCTTCTTCTTCTTCTTCTTCTTCTTCTTCTTCTTCTTCTTCTCCTCCCCATCATCATCTTCATTATCACTATCATATTACTATTAATATTACTTTGACAGGAAGGATTGATGCCCACATCTTTGATCATCGAAATTGTGTCGATGGCGCCGTAAAAGCACCTACGTGTTTATTTTGAGCTTGCGACGTTTTTTCCTTGAATTTCTCTTCTAGTTGGCTCTTTGCCGGACATGCTGCAGGCCAGATCTGACTGCAACACCGTGGTTATCGCCCTTGAGGCAGAGCGGTACCTGGATGCTTCTGGAGCTTTCCACGTAAGCCTGAACTGACACAGATTCTCATCATTTCCCTCTCTTTTCCCTCACCAACACCACCGCCACACCCCAACACGTAGAACTTAGCAGGTCTAGAGCACAGCCCCCCTCCCGTCTCTCTCTCTCTCTCTCTCTCTCTCTCTCTCTCTCTCTCTCTCTCTCTCTCTCTCTCTCTCTCTCTCTCTCTCTCTCTTTCTCATCATATCGGATCAATGAAGAACAGCAGAAACAGTCCAGTCTCCCTCTTCCCTTATTATTATAGCCCCTCTACAAAACAAAAACAAAAACCCAACAAAAAAGCGAACAAACAACAACATAAAAAACAATCACAAAACAAAAACAGAAAGAAAAAACAAACAAACAAACAACAACAACAACATTCATTGTAGGACCAATATGGAACGGGATGGTCCTGACAGGCAGAATCTAATTGTGCCTCCTAAAATTATTGAATTATTGTGTCGATGAGGACGCCCTCCCATTCTGCCCTTCCCTCTTCCCCATCTGGATCCAAAAGGAGCAAGTCTAAGAGTTAATTTTTCTTCTTTTTCTCTCCCCCTCCCATCCTCTCCCCTCCTCTCCCCTCCTCCCCCTCCTCCCTCTCCCCTCCTCTCTCTCCCCTCCTCCAGGACCCAGAAGGAGCAGTTGTGACGGTCAAGTTTCCCGACGGTCCGCGCGGCTCGGCACAACCTGTGGTCACCACACTGGACTTCCGGAAATATAATCAACGCTTGTGAGTTCGCTGGCCCAAGGTGTAACCATTCTCGCATTCTCGTTCTTTCTTTCTTTTTCTATCTATCTATCTATCTATCTATCTATCTATCTATCTATCTATCTATCTATCTATCTATTTTATTTCTCAGTCTGTCTGTCTGTCTGTCTGTCTGTCTGTCTGTCTCTCTCTTTTCTCTCTCTCTTCTCTCTCTCTCTCTCTCTCTCACTCTCTCTCTCTCTCTCTCTTTCTCCTTCCATCACCAAATTGTAACTCGTTAAGGACGGAGTGGGCACTTGATAACAACAGCAACAACAATCCAACAACAACAACAACAACAATAATAATAAAAAAAAATAAATAAATAAATAATAATAATAATAATAGTAATAATGACGATGATGATGATGATGATGATGATGCTGATGATGATATTTGCATAGTTTATTTAGTGTGTGCATGTTTGTGCCTGCTTTTACAAGTCAAACAATCTCGAAAACTATGTTTAAGTATTTTTGAAGATTTCTTTAAAAAGTAGCCTACCCCCTCCAAAACCCCCCCCCCAAAAAAAACCAACAAACAGAGCGTCTTTAAAAGGTTTGTCGAGTGGCCGGAATGTGCACTTTCGTTAAGTTGACTATAATTATTATGTAATTTTTAAATTATGTTTCCAATGTATGGGTACAAGCACTATGACGTCACAGAATAACGCATTGAAGTCGCACCAAGGACCATAAAACATAACTATACCATAACCTTAGATCTCGCAGTCTGGATATTCGAACACTTGAAGTGAAGACACAAGTTTTGGAGTACAAAAAGAAGCACAACTTCGTAAATTAATGTAGATTTTCCCATTTTTCAATTAATGTTTTCTATTTCCCACACCACCACCACCACCACCACCAACAACAACAGCGACATGCTGGAGCCCAGTGGCGTCAGGTTCGTCTACCGCGACAACAACAACAGCTTCAGCAACGATGTCGAGCCCGAGTTCGTGACACTCGATGAAAAATCCGAAAAGGCCTACGTATGTTTACAGGTGAGAGTTGTTCTTTAAACAAACTTAGATGTCTCTAAGTGGTCCAATTGTGTCAATGGGGGCTTTAAAACACCTACTTTAAAAATAACAATACTTTCAAAAAAGTGCACATCTTCAGAAACAGAACTCAGCAGACACAGACACCCCCAAACAAACATAAAAACGAACAAATAGACAAACAATCAAACAAACAAGCAACATAAAATCCCCCAAACCAAACCCCCAAAACCTCATAATGACATGAAAGACAGGACAACGCTGGACAATGTTTGTTTTTTTATTGTAGATGTTTTTACGCCCCATCGACACAATGGGTATAATTTAGGAGGCAGGCTTCCGACCCTGCTTGTCAGGGCCAATCCCGGCTTGAGGGTTACAACATCCCAGCAATAAGACTGAGATAGTTCATGAAAATGGTCCCCACTCGGAAGTCGAACTCGAGTCTTCTGTGTGTGACAGCGAAGCGCCTAACAGAAACAGACGCTTGTAAAGGTTACAGAAATACAAAAGGGGGAAAGGGGGGGGGGGCAAAGAACAAACAGTAAGGAAAAGTTACAGAACTGTCATGGTTTGCGGAGGTCTCGTTGGAATGAAACAAAAAGCCCATAGGTAAGAATCAGTAATCAAACATCTATCGTCTTTTCCTCTTCTACTTTTTGTAACTTTCTCACTAAAAACACCTCTAATTTTTTTCACACCTATGAATGTGACCTATTTGAGTTGAACAACTTTTAAAAAAAATAAATAATTAAGTAATTAATTAATAAACGCATAAACAAAACAAAACAGCAGCAAAAAACATAAGAAAACAAAACAACAACAAAAAAGCGACACACACACACACACACACACACACACACACACACACACACATGCACACACACACACGCACACGCACCTCATTCTCTAACAGGCCTAACTGCGTCCATAAACATTCCCGAAATTGTCAACAATAGCCCATTACAATAATGAAACTGGCCCGAGCCACTTCCACAAACCGCAAATTATTCCAACACGCCATTCCCAAATCAGTTCCCATTTGTCGATTACGCACCTGCCGTCCAGCGCACGCGCGCGCGCGCACACACGCACACACACGCACACACACATTCACACACTCACCCACACGCAGGCCCACACACACACACACA